AAATCTCATGTTATGGCCCAAGTGATCTCCATATCTCGCAAGGAAGAGCTACAGTTTCAACGTTATGGCTCCCTGCCTATGTGCACATCAGACTACAAACTTCGATTCGTATGTTATAATTATCTTTATGCTTATTTGTGGAAAGTTATTAAAGCTCATTTTTCTCGCCCGTTGATTCGATGGAGAAGCAATAGCTCGATGGTTGGTTCATGTCTCTCTGGTAACAGAGTAAATGGCGGACTTCATGTGTATATAGTGTATATAAGCTATGCAAACAAAAATCGATGCAGGGCGAAGAATTTCAAGACAGTAAAACCTATTTGCTAAAGTTAATATGTTTAGGAACAACAGAGAATCAAATACTGTATTTCCATTAATAATTTTTGCAAGATTTTAAGCKCTGCASTATGTGAAGATGCGCCATTATACTCACGGWCKGTGGTGTTGTTTCCGAACTACAACACCYAMCTCTGCYATTATGTTTCKATCCAAAACCAAGCAAACGATGAGGCGCTTTGATTGATTTTCAATTATCAAAAAATGATGATCAACTTAAATTGGATGATGCYATTTTCTTATCGAGTTCTGAGCAACACAATCAAGCGTACGCATATTCAAAATGGCGATGAGTTTTTTCGTCACAAAAGGATTGCTGTTTCACAAAAACTTCGGCGAAGTAAGCTCTAAAGCATTTAACATTAACCTGAAATTGTTTTTATTTGTCTAAATATGATTTTTTTTTTAGTTCTTTTGAGCATAGCTTATTGAAAAGTTTCCGGGATTTGCTTCAGTGTTTCGATCGGGCAGCTGCACCCATGTAAACTCGAGCAGATCGGCCAATGAGATCAAATTCATGTAGTGCGTCCGAAGAAAACTAATACGATAGAAAACAATTCTCGATGATTGCTTAGCACTATATCTAGACTAAAATAAGGAAAGAAACTGAGTACTTTTGCGCTTAGAACAGTCTCTCGCTGAAGGAAATAAAAAGCTTCATAGCTCTATGAATGTCATGTATGTTGAATCATAATTTTCCTCTCGCTGGATGACATAAGAATTAAGTGTTCTTAGCAATTCATTATGATGAAGTCAGTGAGTTTATATGAGTTTATAACAATAAATTGTAAATAAAAAACTAAATTATATTAAAGTTGAAACCCTTGTTACCTACGCCCTYGCCTGTTATGTCAGAAAGTCACAATAAGCTGAAATGAAGACCCAACAGATCAGCACTGAGCAAAGMCAAAAGGATGCAAACAACTAAACATCATATTATCAGTTATTTTCTTCAATGAAGATAAGTTTATATAGGGCAAGATGACTGATACTAATGCTAAAGAAAGGCAACGATGTTGAAGAACAAAACAACAAACAATAGAAAGGATTGTGAAGGAAATAATAAGATTACAGGAAAAAGAAATCAAGATCAAAACTAAAGTAGCATCAGAAGAAGAAGTTTGAGGATGGT